ATAAATAAATAAATATACCTACCATATATGTTAACATAATACATTTATATAATATTTTTCTACTCTTTACTTAATAACTATCCACGGGAAGACCTAATTTGTTTTTCGCATACATTTTTCGTTTAGGTTATCTTGCTGGAAAACTATTGGAGGACAGGATAAAAATTAAAAAAAAAAAAACTGTATATAAATGAAAGTAAAATCATCTCAACAACCATCCGTTCATAATTATTATATAATGTTATTATAAACCATTATTTTCTTCTAATGTTCTTTTTATATTCTCTCATCAACTTCAAAATTTATACTATAAAGGCTGTGTGAAAATCTTATATCACCTTTTGTTTAATCTTATGTCTCCATTTTTGATCTTAGAAAATGTTTAAAGATTTATTGTATGATTTGTATTTGCATGGTTATGTATGATTATATGATTGTATGTTTCGTTGATTTATTAATAAATGGGGTTCCGCATATGTGGACCTGAAGCAAAAAAAAAAAAAAAAAAAAAAAAAAAAAAAAAAAAAAAAAAAAAAAAAGTTTAAACACGTGGTGGAAAACGGTGTGCTTTTTAGAGTTTACTTTCAGAAAAATGGTGATGACTCCAAGCAGATTGTCGTTCCGACAGACTTTAGGAAGAGAGTGATAGAACTTGCCCATGAATCCATTGTTGGTGGACATTTGTCATCTAAGAAGACAGAGGACAGAATCCTGACAAGCTTCCATTGGCCAGGAATAACGGGAGATGTGGGACGTTTTTGCAGATCGTGTGACGTGTGCCAGAAGACCATCCCAAAAGGGCGAGTGAAGAAGGTCCCCCTAGGAGACATGCCGGTGATTGAGGAACCATTTCATCGAGTAGCAATAGACTTGATAGGACCGATTATACCAGTGTCGGAGAAGGGCAACAGATATATCTTGACGGTGGTGGATTTTGCCACACGTTACCCTGAAGCCGTGCCATTGGCGAAAATAGACACCGAGAGCATTGCTGAAGCACTGCTTGAAATATATTCAAGGGTAGGATTCCCTTCAGAAGTTCTAAGTGACAGAGGAAGTCAATTTACAGCAGACCTCATGAAAGAGATATGCCGACTCATATCTGTGAAGCAACTCTTCACAACACCTTACAATCCAAAGTGCAACGGCTTGTGTGAGCGGATGAATGGAGTGCTTAAAAGTATGCTGCGGAAAATGTGCCAGGAAAGACCGAAGGACTGGGATAGATACCTACCGGCCGTATTATTTGCATACAGAGAGGTACCACAGGCGAGTACAGGATTTTCCCCGTTTGAGTTGCTGTACGGAAGAACAGTTAAAGGGCCAATGCAAATACTAAGGGACATGTGGACTCAAAGAGATGATCCAGAGATACAGAATACATACCTGTATGTGCTCAACCTGAAGCAGCGCTTAGAGGAGACATGCAAGATAGCCAGAGAAAGCCTGATGAAAGCAAAGAATACATACAAGCATCACTACGACAAGAGAGCCCGAAATAGAGTTTTGCGAGTAGGAGATAAAGTGTTACTGCTTCTTCCCACGGATAATAATAAGATGATGCTGCAATGGAAAGGACCTTTTCAAGTTGTCGAAGTAATGAATAAATTTGATTACAGAATCAAGATTGGAGACAAGCTGAAGACGTTCCACATTAATTTGCTGAAGAAATATGAAGAGCGCCAAGATAAGATTGCAGCAAGTGTAGCGATCATAGAAGACGTTGATGATAATTCAGATGGAGCGGTGGACGACGAAAGTCTCCTGGACTTCCCTAACTACACAAGTGGAGAGACATACCAAGATGTCAATATCAGTGAGGGACTTACTCCTGAACAGAGGAAGCAAGTTCTTGCCATACTTCAAGAGTTTAGCGAAGTGTTTTCAGAGCGACCAGGAACAACTCCACTGATAGAGCACCACGTTGAACTAACAGACAAGAATCCTGTGAGAGTGAAACAGTACCCCATTCCATATGCCAAGAGACAAGCTGTTGAAAATGAAATACAAGACATGATAAAGGCTGATGTGATAGAACCATCTGTGTCGGAATACAACGCACCGATAGTCATTGTCAAGAAGAAAGATGGGAGTAATAGATTTTGTATTGATTTTAGAAGACTGAATGCCGTCACCAAATTTGACACCGAACCAATGGCAAGCGTAGATGACATCATGGCAAAGCTGAAAGATGCTAAGTATTTTACCAAGATCGACTTATGCAAAGGTTATTGGCAAATCCCAGTTGCTGAAAATTGCCGCAGATTTACAGCATTTGCAACGGATAGAGGGAGTTATCAATTCAAGAAAATGCCTTTCGGTATGGTTAACTCTGGAGCCACATTCAACAGAATGATGCGGAAGTTATTGGCAGGGTGTGATTTTGTTGACAATTATGTTGACGATATGATAGGGCATACAACAACCTGGACAGAACATATGACAATGCTGCGGGAGCTCCTCCAAAAGTTGGCAGAAGCAGAGCTTACCATAAAGCCATCGAAGTGTTATATAGGATATAACAACATTGGTTTTACAGGACATATGGTGGGAAATGGCATAGTTCAAATGGAAGGGGAAAAACTGACAAGAATCAAAGAAGCGGAAGTGCCAAAGACTAAAAGACAAGTTAGAGCATTCTTAGGACTTGCCGGATATTACAGGAGATTTATACCATCGTTTGCTGAGATTGCGGCACCTCTTACAGACTTAACGAAGAAGGGTTTACCAAACAATGTACGATGGGGAGATGAGCAAGAAAGAGCTTTTAATACTTTAAAGGAGCAACTAACCAAGAGTCCAATTCTTCGACTGCCTGATTTTTCGAAAGAATTCATTTTACAGTGTGATGCCTCGAATGCTGGGATAGGTTCGGCATTGCTTCAGAGATATGAGGGAGAGTTGTTTCCTATTGCCTTTGCAAGCAAGAAGCTACTTGATCGTGAAAGGAACTATTCTGTAGGAGAAAGAGAGTGTCTAGCAATCGTATATGGAATAAAGAAGTTCCAAAAATACTTGTATGGGAAAGAGTTCATCATACAAACGGACCACAGTTCATTGTCGTACATCCAGAAAAGTACAACAGACAACGGTCGATTAGTGAGGTGGGCCTTTTTTCTTCAATCATACCAGTTCCGTATTGAAGCCATCAAAGGATCCGACAATATCTTTGCAGACTACCTAAGCAGACAGTATCAAGAAACAGATGAATAAAAAAGAATGTTATTTTGACATTTGATGGAAATATTTAATATTTCCTTTTGAAGAGGGCTGTTGTCAAAATAGCCATTTTATTTATGAAAAGAAACACAAATGTCCGCCATTTTGTTTATTTATTGTTTTGACGTGACGTCACAATTGTGGCGTTCTATCCGGTTCGCGCGTTGTGTATTTATATGAAATGAAATTGGAAATAAAAAAAAAAATTGATTTCGAAAGAAGCGTTATACATATTGTCGGAAAGCAAGTCTCCTTGTTGGTGAGCAGGTCCAGTGAGGGAACCGAATAAAGCAGCAAGTCTAGAAAACGGTCGGCTTTCTAGTGAAGAGTTGAGCCTTAGCAACGGTCCGCTTCCCAGTAAAGAAGCAAGTCTAAGAACGGTCCGCTTCCCAGTAAAGAAGCAAGTCTAAGAACGGTCCGCTTCCCAGTAAAGAAGCAAGTCTAAGAACGGTCCGCTTCCCAGTAAAGAAGCAAGTCTAAGAACGGTCCGCTTCCCAGTAAAGAAGCAAGTCTAAGAACGGTCCGCTTCCTAGAAAAGAAGCAAGTCCAAGGAGCGCAGCAAGTCTAAGAAGCGCAACAAGTTCAAGGAGCGCAGCAAGTCTTAGAAGCGCAGCAAGTCCAAGGAGCACAGCAAGTCCAAGAAGCGCAGCAAGTCCAAGAAGCGCAGCCAGTCTAAGAAGCGCAGCAAGTCCAAGAAGCGTAGCAAGTCCAAGAAGCGCAGCAAGTCTAAGAAGCGCAGCAAGTCAAAGAAGCGCAGCAAGTCTAAAAAGCGTAGCTAGTGTAATAGTGAAGCAAGTCCAAGAAGTGCAGCAAGTCTAATAGTGCAGCAAGTCCAATAGTGCAGCAAGTGCAATACTGCAGCAAGTCCAATAGTGCAGCAAGTCCATTACTGCAGCAAGTCTAAGAAGCGTAGCTAGTCCAATAGTGCAGCAAGTCCAATAGTGCAGCAAGTCCAATAGTGCAGCAAGTCCAGTAGTGCAGCAAGTCCAAGAAGCGCAGCAAGTCCAAGAAGCGCAGCAAGTCCAATACTGCAGCAAGTCCAATACTGCAGCAAGTCCAGGAGTACAGCGATTCTTAACTTATAATCACAAATACCGCTCAGAATATCGATAAAAATCTCATAAGTGAAACCAAAACTTGACACACATGAACGCCGGAGCAAAGGAGTGATTGGCACAAAGGTCAACTTTGATGCAAGAACACCTTTCAAAACCAAAAAAGAAATATTCCTCTCTAATTATGAAAACAAACAGAATTTCATCAACTTATTAGGAACGTATCTAACAGACAGGAAATGTCATGTATCAAATGCCTCAGAGGATGCAGATCTTCAAATCGTTCAGACTGCAATTATGAAAGCAAATGGCAAAACGACAGTAGTTATAGGTGAAGATACAGATATATTGGTTCTGCTATGCTATCATTCTGATATTTCCAAAGAAAACATATTTTACAGATCCGACAAGAAGACTAACATTAAGAAGAAGAAGATTTGGGACATCAAGAAAACAAAAGCAGTCCTTGGTAGTGATACGTGCAAACGTTTACTCTTTATTCATGCTTTTTCTGGGTGCGATTTACATAGTTGTTTAATAGTACTGATTCCTGGAATTATATTTAGTTCCAGCTCAGCATACTCATACAAACTTCACGCGGACTTACCTTATAAAAACATTAGATATGTTGTGCTTAGAAAAATAAATAAATTTGTTGTAAAATATGTTCAAGATAAATTCATGATATAAATCATGCTTATTCAAACTTTCCCCAAAACAACATACCTTTATAAATCAAAGTAGCAATCTGCGATGCAATCGTCTCTCTTGTCATACGTATTGCATTTTCCTCTGAGCTAGTATCTGTATAATCTGCATTTTCGTCTGCGCTAATATCTGTATAATCTAAGGATAAAGAAATTTGTAATGCTTGCTGTATATCTTCATTCGTACTTAGCTACTATATTGAATAACTTTTGATAAATAACCATCATATCGAGAATACAAAATATATCAACTACATTGTTTACGTGACTTAATGGTCATTTTATCTAGTAACTATATGACATTGTAATATATGATGGCAAATATTTCAAGCAATGTTATGGTTATTTAGGCTGGCATATTAAACTGAATTTTATAAAAACTTAAAAACTCAATTAAAACTTCACGCCGACTTACCTTAGAAAAGCATTAGATATGTTGCGCTTAGCAAAACAAATTCATTTGTTGCAAGTTATGTTCAAGATAAATTCATGATAAACATAATGCTTATTCAAACTTTCCCAAAACACGACATACCTTTATGAATCAAAGTTTTATATTGGGGTTTAATCAATACCCTTGACATCCGTCTTGCCTTTTTGTCTGAGAAAGTATCTGTATAATCTAAGGATAAAGAAATATGTAATGCTGTGTTGTATATCTTCATTCGTACCTAGCTACCATAATGAATAACCTGGGCGTCCGTGGCAGAGTGGATAAGGTCGTTGACTTAAAACCACTTGCCCCTCACCGCTGTGGTTCGAATCCAGACAGAGACTTTGGATTCTTTCATGTGAGGAAGCTATCCAGCTAGCTTACAGAACGTCGGTGGTTCTACTCAGGTGCCCGTTCGTGCCTGAAATAATGCACGGAAGGGCACTTACGGTCTTCCTCAACCATTTAAGCTGGAACGTCGCGATATGACCTATACTGTGTCGATGTGACGTAAAACCAAAAACAAACAAACAATAATGAACAAGAAAAGCATTGATGCAAAGCATCAAAGGGCGACGCCAAAAGAATTTGATCCAGGTTTGCACCTAAATAATTAACAAAAGATGTGTACTTTATAGCAGTATCATTATATGTGACCTGGAGGCTAGGCCCAGTTTAAATTGCAACTTAAACCAAAAAGAATAGACCCCGTCTTGCCAAGATGCAACGACAATTTATAGTTAATTAACCACTCATGATATAAGAAAGAATTTCTTCAGATTTGTTTTACCAGATACAAGGATACCCGAGTCATCAGCATATAAACACAGGCACGAGTATCGGACATGGGAAGAAAAAATATGACCAGATTGATAAAAGAAACTGTTTTCATCTTAATAGTGTCTAAAACCAAAGAAATAAAAAATGTAAATAACGACCATTTAGAAATATACTATTAACTTAAAGTATCTTTTTAAAGGGGGGGGGGGGTCATTATTTACAATTTTTTATTTGGTTTTTGACACTTTTAAGATAAACACAGGTTTTTTTTATCAATCCGGTCATATTTTTTCTTCCCAGGTCTGATACTCGTGCCTGTGCATATAATAAAAGCTTATTGCTTAGGGTTGAAGACATGTCATTGACATATATTAGACATAAAAGAGGACCTAAAATGAATCTCAGGGGGACACCGAGCAGTAGTAGAATGAGTACCAGCCACATCCACCAGCTGCTGTCTATCAGAGATGAGACTTAAACCATGTAAGAATGTCATTACATATGACAGATGCTTAAAGTTTCATGAAGAAGAAGAAAAAGAACTTCTTCATGTGAAGTATAGTCATGTGCAGTATAGTGTGATCAGCTGTATCAAATGCCTTTTGTAGATCTAAAAGTATTATGCAATACTTGCTTTGTCCATTTCAAATTTAATGCAATCTGTTAAATACTTCAAACATGTGTCAATTGAAAAACCGCTTCTAAACCCTGACTGAAACTGCCTGACCATGACTCGAACCCATGACTTTCAGAAGACCAACTGAGCTATCCGGCCGGCTACACATTTTCTCTTCAATAATGAAACAGTTCTAAACCACAACATATTTCTCCACGATATTGATTTGTGTCCTTGAATTTCTGATGTTTACAGAGCATAGTGAATTAAACTCATGGTTATATGCAGGCACAGGATGAGAAAAACATCAGCTTGACCAGAACTCGAACCTGTGACCCGCAGAATAATGTACAGCGGCTGTAGCGATTGAGCTATCTGGCCGCTTACACATTTTCTCCCATAAATAGTGAACAATTCTAAACCGTGACAGATACTTTTAGATTTTTAAATTAACAGATAATTAATTCTTAATTAATGAATAAGAACAAAAAATAGATATAATGTGTATTTCAGTATTTAAAGACTTACAGTTATGATGTATGAGACTTGCATTTAAATTTATAAATGATAATGCATGTATTGATCTGTCTACAGGTTATAGTATTAACATTGGTGTTTGGATGGAATTCATAATCTTGTAGAAAGAAAACTATAATGTAAATGATATTGTATAGTATAAAAGTAAAAAAAAATCTCAAATAGTCTATGATTGAGTTGTGTGAGTGTCTAAACATAAAATGCATATCTCTTACAGTAACAAATACTGTCCCTCTTTTAACATTCCATTAGACTTTACTATATAACTAACTGCATATATACATGTATATCAAGTATTTAAAATGAGCACCTATATGAATAGCTTTAATACTCTACCTTTCATTTTTACCAAAGGTTATTTTATTAACAATTTATATACAAACACATAGAAAATAATAATTAGTTTCACATATTGATTAGAATATTCCTCTAGCAGAATACCTGTAGGTATATACTATACTGTGCTCCTCTTAGTTCACGGTACTTAACGCTTTGAAGCAAGAAAGAAAACAACACATAAAACTTATGGTACAAAAATTGTCATAAGCTGTAACATATAGGTATTTTCTGCTGTATGACACAAAGAAACAACAATATATTTAGTTATAATCAGTTTAAATGAGCCAGACGTAGACCACACGTCGGCCATTTTAAAACAGTATGCCATCATTTAAATCGTATTAATGGTGTTTTATTTCAGTTTTTTTTTCATGTTTCCGTTAAGATTTTTACATGTTATTTTGCATAATTTTAAATATTGAAAGTAACTTTACATTGTAACTCAAAATTTATTTTTTCAACAAACAGGATTGTTTCAGACGTATGCACAAATTTAATAGACTATAGTTGCTTTTTGCAGAAGTTTGTAAAAAGTTGTTCTGTTTTTAAATTACGTAAAAATCTATAGATTTAAGATATTTTTCACATAAACTTAGTAGTTTAGAACTTTGAATAAAAGATGTCAATTCTGACCAATTTTAGCACGGGTAACATAAAAATATGCCATTACCGTGAAATAAGTGATGACGCGGAATTAGTGATGTTGAGTATAACTGAACAAACTAGAAAAATCCTGGTCTAAGGTATATAAAGCCAGTAAAAAAAATCTAGCAATATTCACTCATCAGGGCCTCTATGCTTTTGATGATCTTACTGGTAAATTTTATACAACAAAAATAGTAAGTCATACCTAAGATAGACAGAAAAGAACAAATAATTTAGTAATCATGAGTTACTTCCTCTTAAAAGAGAGAAAACCTGAAACCCAAATGAACACCCTAAAAAGCAAAATTATGAAATGTTGCAGGCTCAGTTTTATTTAACCATGCAAATTAATGGTAAAGTATTCATAAAAAATAGATGGACATGTGACAGCAGTAATTGCAGAAAATCGGACAGCTTTCAACATCCGGATACTGGTACACTTTGCAACAACAACCATTCTGTGCAACAGATAAACGTAATATGGATAAAATTAATAGGATAATCGTTTACAACAGTCCATTACCTATCCTAATACTCATTTGCAGGTGAACTTTCTTCTTGTAGGAAAATTTTTTGAAAATATATAAATGAATTCATCAATGAATGGATACGGCATCAATGTAGACCACAACGATATTCGAAATCCGGGTTTTAGTATTGTCAATAAAACTAAGGGACAAGCTGTTAAACTGAGCCTGCAATTTTGTGAAAATAATATCACAATGCACATGCTTTTTACATAAAGTTATTAAATACAAATATAACAACATATTTGTTTACTTGATTTTTACGAATCAAAATAAATGTAATTAACACAACATGACATTAACTGCTAATAATAACAGCTCCTTCCATAGGCCAAAATGAAAAGCATTCCATAAGAGACGACGCCGCTCACCCGCGTCGCCAATAACCTCTTTTTATGCCCCCACAGAGTGGGAGCATATAGCGTTGCACTTGTCCGTCTGACCGTCAGTCAGTACGCACTCACAGGACAGTAATTATGTGGCTAGAGGGACAATAGGTAACTGTTCTTTCTCTTTAAACACATTTCTAGTTTTATAAAAAAAAATTTTTTAATAATTATTATCTCGAGAATATAGAATATGTTAACTACACTTTTACATGACTAAATGGTCTTGACTGTTGTATAAATGACGGCAAATATTTTAAGTGACGTTATGGATATTTGCATTAATATATAGTTACATAAATATTATACTAATCTAAAATACAAAAAAATATACCTTTTTATTTAACTCTTGAAACCGATTTTAAATTCGAAAAAATATTGAGAGAAATTCCAGTATGTCACATTATTTTATTTTTATTGTTATAAAGTACAATATAAATTCGTAAACATCTGTGGCAAAATGTAAATTATTAGTTTACCAGAACATTCAGTTTCTACGCTTGGATGTTCCTATAGTTCAGATAGATCTGAATATGAATCGATTTACATGTATTGTTAAGAAAAAAAATGAATATTGAATATATAAAAATTAACAAATGTGTTTTCAATACTTTTTATAGTTTTTCATATCATAAAAACGTGTTATGTCAGTTTATCAAATTTGTTTGTTTACTTCAATGAGCTATTTCATCGGCATAATTATCGACATAAACTGACCTATTTATTATGTTCAAGATAAATTCATGATAAAGATTATGCTTATTCAAACTTCTCCAAAAAACGACATAACTTTATGAATCAAAGTTTTATACCGGCGTTTATTCAACACCCTTCTCGACTGTATTGCATTTTTGTTTAAGACTGTATCTGTTTTATATGAGGATAAAGAAATATGTAATGCATATTGTATATCTTCATTGTTACCTAGCTGCCATATTGAATAACTTTTTATAAATAACTATCATATCGAGAATACAAAATATATCAACTACATTGTTTACGTGACTAAATGGTCATTTTATCTAGTAACTATATTACATTGTAATATATGATGGCAAATATTTCAAGTGATGTTATGGTTATTTAGGCTGGCATATTGACTGAATTTTATATAATGTAATATTATAGGTCAGATAGAAACAACTATGCATCATTGATGCTTTTATTGCTTTCAAATGGAAAAGTGTCGAATATTGAATTTTATGTATATATATGACACATATTCAAAATATTTATATTTCTAATAAATTTACATAGTTGTTTAATATTTCTGATTACTGGAATTGTATTTAGGTCCTGTTAAGCATATCAATTCAAACTTCACGCGGACTTACCTCAGAAAAGCATTAGATATGTTGTGCTTAGCAAAACAAACACATTTGTTGCAAGTTATGTTCAAGATAAATTCATGATAAACATAATGCTTATTCAAATTTCTCCAAAACACGACATACCTTTATGAATCAAAGTTTTATACCGGCGTTTAATCAACCCCCTTCTCGACTGTATGGCAATTTTGTTTGCGAAAGTATCTGTATTATCTGAGGATGAAGAAATATGTAATGTATGTTGTATATCTTCATTCGTACCTAGCTACCATGATGGATAACTTTTTATAAATAATTATCATCTTGA